TCTCTCCTTCTCTCTTTTTCTTTCCTTGCTTCCAGTTCCTTAAAGACAGAACTCCGCTTGAATTTTTAAGAGTAGATCTCTAGTTTCCAAACACTGCTGGGGCACCCTAGGTTAGCATCAATACTATATTCACACTCCAGAATTAAAGTATCACAGCAGACTCACAGAAGTGACATGAAAAAATTGTTAAGAAACTAAAGGTTCTCTGAATTAAGAATCGTGTCTGGGAATTTTGGGGTACAATATTGTATTTTACAATTTCTGTTTCTCTATTGAGATAGCCTATCTTTTCTTTTAGAAGCATGTTTTCATTTATATTTTGTAAAATATTTACAGTAGATGCTTTTAAATCCTTGCCCACTGATTCTAACATCTGGGTCATCTCGGGATCATTACCACTGACTGCTTTTCATTTGTATATAGCTAATATTTTTCTATTTAAAAAAATATTATTTATATTTCTAGTAATAGCTGATTCTATCCTGGACATTGTGAATGATTCACTATAGAGGACAAGCTGGCAAAGTACAGCCTATGGGTCAAGTCTGGCCTGCTGGGCCTGTGATCTAAGAACATGGTTTCCAGTTATAAATGGTTATGTTTCAAATGGTTATATAGGTAACTCCATAATATCCCCGGTGTTGCTTCTTGGCCAGCAAAGCCTAAAGTATTTACTATCTGGCTTTTGAAGCAAAAGTTTGACCCCTGACTCTGGATTTAGTTCTGTTCACCTGAAGAGAGCTGATGTTTGTTTCCTCAAACAGCTGGGCTAAATTCAAACTTGCCTGTGGTAGGCAGCAGCTGAAATCTGCTTGGTGCCTGCCCTATCTGTGCATAGGTCCAGGGCCAGTTAGTGATCTGGGAGGATTGTATATGTGCAGAAGTTTGGAGCCAGGCTCCTTTCTACCTCTGTCCTCTAATTGTTGAAGCAGCAAGACTGTGAATTTCTATTTGAGTAGGGCCTATCCTTGGGCAAAAGCCATTAAAAACGACTTTACGATTACTCCCCAGTGCCAGTTCCTTCTTCCTAGTGTCAACTCCTCTCTGTTTTGTGTCTGGTTTCCGCTTGCTTTGGATCATTCTCCATGGGTTCATATGGTTGTCATTTTGTATTGGGTTGTCGGAAAAGTCTTGATGTGTTTTTTCTATGTTTTTCGTTGCTCAAATGCGTCATGACTTTTCCAACAACCCAATAGTTTGTCCAGAGTGTATATTTGTTAACTGCAGGGATGGTGGTGTGATAGGAGTTACTCTGCTATTACTAGAAGCATTCTTTCCTTATTAGATCCTCCAAGATTATTAGACAGCATATTAGGCCCCAGTGAGAAGACTGCAATTGTTACATTATCTTTACTGTGGTGATAGTTTCATAAGTGTGTATATATGTTAAAACTCATCAAATTGTGAATTTGAAGCAGTTACTGTATGAATAGACAATAATTCATATATAGTACAACAATAAAGCTTTAAAGTACATAGAACCATTTTCTGAATAAGAATTTTGATTCATTATTTTGGAACCCTTAAATTGTGTGACCAAAGTAACTAGAGTGACTTTATAAATTTATTTCTGCAAGTCGTACTTCAATCTAAATTCTGCATAGCAGCACAAAAAATGTGATTCTAAGGACAGCAACCTGCCTGCCATTTTTGTTGGTAGTGACACTTGACTAAAATGAAAATCTTTCCTAAGAAGACTGAGAAATGCTTTACCCAGAGTGAGCCTCAGAATAATAAAGAAGTTGTAGAATAAAGAAATATGATTATTGAGTAGGTACCTGAGATACCTGTTGATTCTTCATTGTTCTCCTCATGCCACTGATAAGAATTAGAGTTTCTAGTTTTCCTCAAAGATGAAATTCAAGTTGCTCCTTTCTCCTTCAATCTCCAAATATGCTGCTTTGAGGATTCCTGAAAATTTTATTCTGAAAATCGGTTTTAGACTTTGAAGGTATTGCTAAAAGTTATCTAAGAAAACAAGCTAGTAAAATATACTTAGGACCCTAAACCCATGGTGAGCTAAAGTGCTCTGAGGCACCACAGTGAGTTTACAGAGGTGCTGTGGTAGATATATTTAAGTTTTTGAGGAGCGTAGTGATACTTTTGTCAAACACCACACAGCTTCTAGCTCCAAGCAATTACGGTGTCAGCATTCGATCATGCTGCATTCCTTTTGCTGGTGCTATGCTTTGGGATACAGGATTTGGGGTGATTACTGTGGTACAAAGTAAGTACTGTGTGAAAATCATTGGGGAACAAGAAAGAAGGGTATCACTGGTGTTTGATTACTTTTGGAGTGCTCAACAGTACACACAACCCATTAGGAAGTAGCTGTGGTTATATAGGAAGGAAATATAATTTATTTCAAATTGTTATTAATGCTGTGTTATTTTTTCAAATGGCTACTAAATCGTTAGGATGTACATACACAGTTTGGGGATTTAATTTCATAATTGAAACCACCATAGGTATTTCTTTGGGGCCAGGGGTAGGTATCTAGTCAGTGAAAGTGCTGTGAACCAAGAAAGTTTGGGAACCTCTGAATAAGAGAATGATTTTCATTGTCAAGTTTTTTTTACATACTTTATTCTAATTCAATAAAGTTATACAGTAGAAGGTTTGACGAATTTTCTGGTTATTTAAATTTAATGTCAAGCTTTTTTGTTTCATTTTATCTTGAAATATGTTTACTACAGTGTATTGGTTTATTTACCAACTGAGTAAAGATGATAAACATTTTCTTTGATTTAGAATAACAGCACCTCAAAGTCTTCATTAGAACATTTGTTGTGTAGCCATTAATGATGTACGAGACTGGAAAAATGTATTCACTTCAGCACATTTTCAGCACACAGTTTTATAAGTTACATAAAATGATACTTTATGTCTAATTATTTATCATTTATATCTACTCAAAAGCAAAGCATAATGGGTCCTGTGGGAGGGGGAATAAAGGTTAATTCAAGGCTCTGATATTTGCTCTTTAATTAATAGGTTTTATATTAAAGAATTAAGACTTCATCTTGGAAATTAAATTTACTGACAGCTACTTAGAAATACAGCTGTTTTATAAATAGAAGCATACCGTTACATGGAAACTCCTTTTGTTAAACCATTAATTGGTAATTTACTAACTTTTTTAGTGACTTAACCAGCTGTTTCTTGTATAACCCTTTTACCTTAAATGTTTTCTTACTTACACACTTCATAGTATTACCCTCCTTTCTTCATGCTTGAATATTTCCCTCAGAATCAGTGAAAAGGTAGATGTGCTTGGAAACTTCTCCATGAGAACATGCCATGCATGGCATTTCTGCCTTTGCACTTGCTGTTCACCCTCCCTCTGTGCCCTGCCCTCCCTTTTTCTGGAACAAGTCTCAGGCATTGTGTCCCATTGCGTCTTGTTCATACCTCCATTGAAGCTCTTACCATTGTATTTTAAGTCTCCCTTTACCTGCTTGTCTGGAGTTGTCGCTGAAGTCCTTAAGTGGAGGGGTCATTTTTGAAATTTGTTTTTATCTAGCAAGCGCGTGGCCCACAGTGTGCATTCAGACGTATTTGCTAAGTGAATGATAGAAGCCCGTGTTGTTTCTCTTTGTGCCTGACCACGTTTTCTCTCTTTTTAAAATCTTTCTTCATGCAGTGCCCTAACCATTTCTAATATTCAGGCTGGATCCACTGGAAATTGGGGCTGTCATGTCCAGACCAAACGCGGGAACAATACCAGAACTGTCGATATTGTCGTGTTAGAAAGCTCTGCACAGTACTGTCCTCCTGAGAGGGTGGTGAACAATAAAGGCGACTTCAGGTCAGTGACATGGAAAGTCTGATTTGCCTCACATCCATTTTTATTTTATTTATTTATGTATTTATTTATTGATTGATTTATTGATATTTTTTATTAGTTCCAGGTGTACAAAACAATGTAATAGACATTTACACCCCCTTCCCCAGAAATTAAAGGAGATACAAACAAATGGAAACACCTACCATGCTTATGGATACGAAAAATTAATATAGTTAAAATGTCCATACTACCTAAGGTAACATATAGATTCAACGCAATTCCTGTCAAACTACCAATGGCATTTTTCACACAAGTAGAACATACAATTCTAAAATTTATATGGAACCATGAAAGACCCTGAATAGCCACAGCAACCTTGAGAAATAAGAACAAAGTGGAAAGTATCACAATGCCTGACATCAAATCATACTACAAGGCTACAGTAATCAAAACAGCATGGTATCAGCATAAAAACAGACACATAGATCACTGGAACAAAAGAGAGAGCTCACATCCCTTTTTATCTTCAAAGGCACATATTGGTCTCTAAGCCTCAGTAAGAATATTGGAGAAATGTATGTGTATTCATATATAGAGGGTGTGTATGTGTGTGTGTGTGTGTGTGTATGGGGTGCCAAAAAAATGTATACACATGACTTGTATTCATCTTTTGTTATCGGTATATATTGAGTATTACAATTTTAATACAGTTTTTTCCTGTCTTAAAATGTGTATACATTTTTGGGCACCCTCTGTGTATATGTGTGCGTGCATGTGTGCGTGTGTGTATCCTCAAATATCTAAGGATGTCCCGTGAGAGCAATGATTTTGGAATCATTTACAAGAGATTAAGAAAAAAATACGTACCTGAACTTTATCTCAAATCTGTTGATTTAAGAGTGTCTGAAAGTAGAGCCAGAAGTGTTCATTTTTAACAGGCGGTTTTGTGGTAAAAGTTAAGAACCACTGCTATAGGGAAACATTTTGGAAATTTTACTAAAAGAGTGCAAAATTCAGACAGGCTAATGGTATTTCCTGCTGTTTTCAAGGGCTCCTTTACGATGAACTGTGGAAGGTTTGGTACTGCTAGGGCACTGTTAACTATTGGCAGTTAAGTAGACACCATTAGGAGAAACCCGTACCCACTTTCCTTCCCCCGCTTGGTTCTTCTGGCAGTTAAGCAAGAAGGACTTTGGGAAACCAAAGATGTTGTTTGACCTGAAACGTGGGGAGCCCTTGGTGTAGGAATCTGTTGCCATAAGAGAATAAGTTAAATGTTACTGTTTTTTTAGTAGAAAGTTTAGAATTTGTGAGGGGTAACAAGTTTTACCTTAGCCTCTCCTTACTTTCAAAGTTGCTTTAAAACATCATTGAATATATTGTTTAATGTTCTTTATGCTTAAGAAATAAGTTTACAGTTATTTAAAGGAAGGGAAATGAATCTGTAGCTCTTTAAAGCCGTGTAAAGGTTGTTGACTACTCAGTTTGCACTGCTCGTGGTTGATACTATTGCTGCCTCGTGGCTATAAGCCCAATTTTTAAGGATAAGAAAACCCTTTGATGTTAATCTTTCAAATCCAAGGTAAAGAAGCAATAATAGCACCTTTAGCTCAGTTTTTCATTGCTTTTATTTTGTCTTATCTTTAAAAAAAAAAAAATTCTCCTTGACATGAGCATATGGAAATCAGCATTTATTATTGCCGGTGGTAAGTCTTTTATGTCTAGTAACCAGTAGTCTATATTTACGAGTATATTGTATACTTTAAAGTGAAATAGATAACATTTGTTAATTTTATTATAGTCAACATCTTTTATTAAATAATCATAATATGATTTGTTTATGGTTGATTTTCTGTTTTTACTCATAGTTTTTGAGTTTCTTTACATTTTTAAAAATAGAAGGAGAATCTAATTATTTAACCGATTAATGAATTATTTATCTTTCAACACGCCTTAAGATATGCAGTTAAACCTCTACTGCATTAATAAGAATTTAGTTTAGTGTCGCTTGATCTATTTATGCAGTTTTGGGTAATGAATTATATTTTGGTGTGACTGATATTCTAATTTAGCAGTTCCTATGTTACGGGTCAGCTGTAACTTTTATTAAATATGTTCGATTTCACTGTCAGTTTTGGAGAAATGGAGCTCAGATGACAGCGGTCCATGCCAACATGTGTATGTAGTCACTTGCATAGTGAGGGGCTTCTCCCTGATATCTTCAGTTGTACGCTGTGTTGGGGGCCTTCAAGACCACCCCCAAGTGCAGACATCTGCCAGGAGGACTCCGGGGACTCAGCATCTAGTTGTCCTCACAGCTGAGATGTAGTGTAGTAATACAGTCAGATACATAGCTGGATCCTAAGCGGAAAAGACACAGGTGGGTCCTGGAGAGACCCACGCTCCGGCTTCCTCATGCTGTCTCCCTCCCAGGAGGCTCACGCAGAGCCCGTCCTTCTCCAGCCATGAAAAGGCAGCAACCTCTGGGCAGCGTTTCTCACCCAGGGCAGCCCACTGGAACCTCAGCCACCCTCTGCCCGTCACATACCAGAGTTGCAGACTCCCAGGAAGGAAGTGGGTGTTCAGCATAAACCGGATTGCTTGTGCAGGTCGTCTAGGTGTAGGGAACAACCCGAGCCAGTTAGCTGTTCATGAGAATGCTCCGAGTTCGATTCTCAGATGCCTCTGAAAGGCCAAGGTTGCAAATGGGCCTTTCTAAGGATGGCAGTCCAGGACCTGCTGTGCCACCTCTGTGCATATAATAACTACTTCTGCAAAAGGCCTGATTCTACGAATACTGGACAAGATTCTGACCTTACACATCTAATAGTTCTATAAGTCAACAATACAATAATTAAAAAGAAATGCAAAACCATTTGTTGCTTTTTTTTTTCTGACTAAGATACAGTTTCCCTGTGTATTTATAGCAATATTTAGAATATTTTAGGAAAACAATCCTATTCTGCTATGATATTAAAATGCCCTTGGTGGATAATAGTTTAAAATGGTTTG